CGTTATATGAGTCGTCGCTCACGTCTAGTGTATAATTGAATTCAATGTGAAATCAATTGACAAATCATTTGATAAATAAATTGCAATAAATTTGTGACAAATATTTAGACAAAGAGTGAAAGAGTGGCGCAAAATGTCGGGTCAGAGGACTTCTCCGCTCAAGAACTTCTTCGCGGGTGGATTCGGTGGCATGTGTTTAGTGACTGCCGGACACCCGTTGGACACAATCAAAGTACGGCTGCAAACAATGCCCAAACCAGTGGCCGGACAGTCGGCCCTCTATTCCGGAACCTTTGACTGCGCGAAGAAGATTGTGGTCAAAGAGGGAGCTCTCGGTCTCTATAAGGGAATGGCCGCTCCTCTGACGGGAGTCACCCCTATGTTTGCCGTCTGTTTCCTCGGCTTTGGTATCGGAAAGCGTATACAACAGACCACTCCCGACGACCCCTTAACTCTCGGTCAGCTGTTCAAAGCGGGAATGATTTCCGGTGTTTTCACGACAGCTATTATGGCTCCGGGAGAGCGAATCAAATGTCTGCTTCAGGTGCAGGCGGCCGAAGCCAGCGGCCAAATCAAGTACAGGGGACCCGTCGACTGCGCCAAACAGCTGTACGCCGAGGGAGGCCTTAGAAGTATATATAAGGGAACGGCGGCCACACTGTTGCGTGACGTTCCCGCCAGTGGTATGTATTTTATGACATACGAGTGGTTGCAAAAGGTGCTAACGCCCGAAGGCAAGTCCCGAAGCGATTTGAGCGCCGGTCGCACACTGTTTGCCGGAGGAATGGCCGGCATTTTCAATTGGTTGGTCGCTATTCCTCCCGATGTCCTTAAATCTAGACTCCAAACGGCTCCGGAGGGCACATATCCTAAAGGCATTAGAGATGTGTTCAAAGTAATGATGAGAGAAGAAGGTATACGAGCTCTCTATAAAGGCGCCACTCCTGTCATGTTAAGAGCTTTCCCCGCAAACGCCGCCTGTTTTTTCGGCTACGAGTTGGCCATGAAATTCCTCAATAGGGTTGCGCCCAATCTTTAACATTATTATTAATTATATATCAATAGTATATACAATGCAAATGAACTTTGATTCTGGAGTTTCTCACTATGTTATCAGTTAATATGTGATTACAAATTCAAAATAATAAATGTCTCAATAATGCAATTATTAAATTTAATGTCATATTTTGTCTAACAAGACATTAATGTGTTCTTAGAGTAGGACTTATGTTGAGTCTTCACTTCATTAATTGGATGCCTATTTTAATCAATGTAATGAACGTTTGATATATTCTTTTACTATTAACACTTGTGTGAACACAATTGGTATCTTAAGTGCAATTCTGATCACAAATTCATAATTAGGGTATTTAGGGTACAAAATAGGGTTGATATAAAGCTCAATGCAATTATATTCGGTATAAACTTGTTGTATAACTTTTTACTGCGAATCTCAAGTAATTTCACTCATTTCGAAATTAGATATGTTTTGAATACTATTTTCTTAAGGCTTAACGAATGAATTTAAATATCAAAATAATTAAATAATACATTACAGTGTAATAATTCTTATTCTGTATTATATACGGAACTAATTTATAAGTTTTTGTTCTAAATTATTGATAAGAATTTGTCATTGTGTGGACATTAACCATATTATGTTTGGATTGAATTATGTTATGTTTGACCATTTAATCGATTATTTTTAATGAAATAATAATTCATTTCTTACGTAACGACCAGTAATTGATTATACGAGAAAGTTTATACCGTCTCTTCATAATTACAGTTATATATTGTTTATAATTTACTTACAGTTATATTTTAAACACAACTAAAACCAAAGTATAAATAAGAGTTGTAAACATTCTGTCAGTTATTGACATGATTTGGCTATAAATGCATGAAATTTCAGCTTAAAGTATGAAATGATTCAAATAAATTAGTTTAAAATACATTTAAAATGTTACGTTTATTCGTATTTCAATGATTAATTGTTAACTCTATTTCATGTTTTAATTTTATATTATAGACTACTTTTTATATTATATAATTTACAATAAATATTATGATTTTATTAATGACTCAAAGCTTACAATTAAGTGTCAAACAAAGTAATAAAACTTCAAAACTTGATACTCAAGTGTTTCTTATATTACGAGATATTACATAATTATAAGATTTTGTTTGAATTGTATGAAAATCATGAAAATACCGTTAAATTGGTTGTTGTAATAAAAGTTTATTATAAAATGTTAATTATGTAATTGATTTGATTTATATTTTTATGCATTTTATATTCATTGATTCACAATAAAGATTTATTAAACACAATAAAGTTTTTTACTGTTTAATTAATTTCACGATAATATTTGCAATATTATTAACTTAATTATTAAAAGGAATCGAAAATAATTAATCGCTTGAAATATACTTTTCATTTCTAAAGAATTTCTGTCAATCATTTGAAGGTGGCATTGAATTACTGAATAGCACTTCAAAACTACAATATTTTAAGTTTTAAAATACAGAAATTCTGTGTAAAAGAGAAATCCTTTCAAAATTCAAGATTTTCTGTTCAATGACTTGTTTGCGTCAATCAATGGTATTGTAATAAATTGTGGTTTTTAACCACAATTCAGCATTGAATAATGTGGTTTATAGGATCGTTCGGTTACCCATCCCCACCGCCCCGCCCCCCC